AACACAAGGGATGACCAGCATGCTTTTCCAAGGTCATATCCTACTCTGGGTGTTGGCTGAGGCGTCTGAAAACACATCATGTAAATGAATCTTCAGCTGGCAATGATATGGCCATCAACCCACTGGTTCGTAACACTAACGTCAGTGGCTAACCGTAGCAGTGCTGTCAAAAAGTCAACGTTATTAGGTGGGCAGTATACCAACTATAAGGAGGTCCACGAACTCTCAAGTGAACTACGGAGCCTTCAGGATAAAGCTACAGCTGGCCTTTATGATGAAGTAGCTGCCACTACTTTTTTCAACCCCGCAGACGAGAACGGGCTTCTAGACGAGCCTTAAACTGACCTTGAAGTCTTCAAAGAGCGGTGGCCTCCCACCGATTATCAGGATGTTGAAGAGCTTCTCGAAGAGTCTATACAGACAGAACCAGCTGTAACATTCCTTGATGGCTAACGAACGTAACGAATCTGCTGTCCTTGGTTCAACGCCACATTACTTTCACAAGCTCGGAGTTACAAGGTCTAGGCAGTTAAAAACAGTCCATCGTGGAGTTACTAGAGGCTCATCTGCCAAGGAGAAGGATTCCGCGACAGGACAAGGATCTGTGACGAGAACTTACTCTCGATGGCCGACTGAATGAGTAGGAGTCCATGGTGCCGTGGCTGAAAGGGTTGTCTTCCTACTAACCCTATAGCGTGACTGATACCATTTGTATGAAGCTATTGTTGTGGGCGATACGTACTAGATTGCCACGGTAGCCTTGCTATCTACCAACTAATGAGTCTACATAATTCTCACACTCCCAAAACGATATGATCACACAGAAGAGCATGTTTGGGTTGGACAACACCCACTCCTGTCGCGATAGCGGTGCAGCTATGTGCAGCTATGCTAGGGTTGGCTTCGTCGGAAACCCAGGCTCGCGTTTTTCCTTGCAAGCAGATGGCAAAGCCTCCTTGACCAAGCGGTGAGCTTTTCTTTGCTTCTGCTTTCATTTGCCCAAAAAGCGCACATGAGTGAAAGAATCGTCATGGTGCACTAGATGCAGACAAATCTTGAGATGTCTTTAGGGTTCCGAGCTTTTCATGTCTTGTCTCATTGCCAGAACCAGTACAACCCATATTCTATGCGAATCGCATCTGCTACTACAAATAGCCCAGACACTGTCTCTAGTCTGAGTACCTTAAAACTTGGTCGTGGATGTTGCTTCTTTACAATCTGGAAACATGATGCCAACATCCTTTACTCCTCATGGCTCAGGTCACGCGTTGCCAGTCGCTGCACCCGGTCAGCATTATGCCTGCCAGTGTTCACCATTCAATGTTGCGACTCCGTGTAAAAGGCCTGCTGGAGGCGATAATGATGATGACGATATCCAGTTCATCTCTGAAAAACCTGTGAAGCGACGTAGGTTTAGCGAGAGGCCGCCCGCAATCTCGATGTCTCAACAACCAGCAATCCCTCCTGCTGCCATTGTTGTCCCACCTATCCCTACGGCACAAATGCAAATGGGCGACGCTGATCAACGAGATACGGAAAGAAGACTGAGTACAGGAATGGTCGGCTTCCCATCCGACCTTCACGCAATGGAGCTTACCTATGCATTAAGAGGCGTGTCCATGCCGGTCTTGGAGAATTTCGTGCTCAACCAACCTCCTCGCAAGCCTCGGCCTTTGAGTCCTCCTGAACTCTCACCAAAGCAACTTCCCTCCAAAATTCCTTCATCAGAACCCAATGTTCCGCCAAATCAGCATAGATCAAGGATCACTGGCTACCAGGCGTCGTCGACGAACTCTCCAACAGCCTGTTCAAGTCGGAGCCGTACACCTTGTCAAGCCGAGACGCAAGCAGCGACACCGAATTTGACAAGAAGTAAACCTACTTCTGGTCAAGTCCATACCTCAGAACCACTTGTCAATTCAAGGATCAATAATACGCTATGTTCTTCCCATCCTGCTAAGACGAATTGTTTGAGGGGTACGCCAATGCCTCCCCCCCCTCCCCTCCCCCCTATCCCTACCCCTACTTTACCCTGCCCCGAGAGTTCTCAGCATGCGACTTGTCCGGATGGTAGTCCGAAAACCTCGGAAAATCACCACCATCATCACAACAGTTCAGCACAGACACCGAAGCAGCCATGTCAGGCCTGTTCCCGGTTGAGACACCAGGCTCAGCTCTCACGAGCACAGGGCCTACCAATGATGAATGCGCCTCTTCCTCCTCACTTCATTTCGCAGCTGCCTTTTCGCCAGCCTTACGGCCAACAAGTACACCCTCAAGTGATGGCCATGTCAACGAGCAATATGCACCAGTTTGGGCCGAACTATGCATCACTTATGATGCCACTTACCAACAGCCCCTTCGCGCCTCTCCCGTCTCATCCGCCACACCAGCCTCCGGCACAGCAAGCGATGACCAATCAGTCAAAAAACGCCGGGAAAGCTAAACAGCGCACCCCTGAACCTGCCGGTAAAACGCAATCGCCCAAGACGAGTCAGCCGGGCACCACGACCACCGGCCCAAAAGCGACATCGAGTCCAGCAAAACCTCCCACGTCGATCATTAAGCCTACATATCGAAAACCTTCGCCAAATCTAATAGTCGATGTGGCGGAGACATGCCAAGAAAAGTTCCCATTTGAAGAGGTCGCGAAGAGACATAACGTGACTGTCGAAAAAGTGTTTGACGTCTTTGCAGCCATCATTCAGGTACCCCTTCTACGGTGTCCAACGGACCGTCGAAGAGCGGGGAGGCTGGCGACGGCGCGTATCAAGGAGTATAACAAGGCGAAGAAGGCCGCTCAGGACGCCAAGAAAATTGACGCCGGTAAAACAAGTGGTGGAGGCGAGGTCGATAAACAGGAGACTTCGATGGACATAGCGAAAAGGCTGGGCCCGGTGGACTTACCAGAGGGACTTATGCTCGGAGAGCGGTCATATGGGAATTACGAATCTACAAAGTGTGATTAAAATGCGAAATTACTCGGGTGGGCACCGCGGGAATTCATTGGGAATATCTAGGAATCTCACCCCAAAGAGGCAAGTTTCCGTTATCGTCTATTGTACAAGTACTACTTATGTCTCCAATATACCCTTAATATGACTTGTCGAGATTGAGAGCCCTACCTTTATTAGAGAGCTCGACGTCGCGGCGTTTTTCCCTCATCATATTCATCCGCGAGCCTCTGCCAGAGATCAAGATCTTCGTCCTCTGCAGCCAATCTTTCGATCCGGGAGCTCCTCTTCATCCGCCTCAACAGCGGGCGGGACCTCTTCACAACATCCTCGTGTGGAGACTTTCTACGAGTCTCCTCGCGCCTCATCACTTGGTTGGATTCCTGGGCCAGCGAAGGCGACTGCGGTGGAGACTTTCTGCGAGCCTCCTCGCGCCTCATCACTTGGTTGGATTCCTGGGCCAGCGAAGGCGACTGCGGTGGAGACTTTCTGCGAGCCTCCTCGCGGAACCTAGTTCTAGCTTCCGTAAGGCGCTCCTTCAGCAAAGGTTCCATTACCTTCTCCGCATTAACCTCTCCTTTCCTAATTCTCCTTGCATGCTCCTTGGCGAGCTTCTTTTCGCGCTTCTCTCTAAGCCTGCTAAGGAGAAACGGATCAACCTCGTGCAAAGCGTTGCGATACGTGATGACCGCATCGTGGCCGCAGACAGACACGGACTTCTTCATCATGACGTGCTTGCCCCCATCCGTCAGGTATCCCGACTCGTCGTCAGAATCCGGGTCCCACGGCGCCCCCATGCGATATCGGTTCTTCATATAAACTGACGAGTCGATATCTGTACTTGTCAGCTCCTCATCCGGCAGTAGTTGCGCCATCAATTCGCACCGGCGCGCCTCGGCTGCTTCCTCTGCCCCGCAGCGCGAGTGAGCCCTTTCGAACTTTGGGGTGCTATGGCCCCGAGAGGCTAGGCGACTGTGCCCGCTTGAGGTGCTGGGGCGTTCATCAAGGTCACCCCAGCGTACTGCTTTAGAACAACGAGGCATGGTGATTTATTTAGCTAGGCGGTTAGTAATTATTTTTACGTCTTTCTCTGACTTGCTCTTTTTTCTCCTCCTTCTACTTATTGTTGTAATAAGATCGATAGTGACTGTGAGCCCGTGAGAAATCAATCGACTTAAAAGTACTCAGCGGGATCTTTTGATGGTCACTCGAGGGGTCGTAGGGAGACCAAGCGGCCTTAAATAGGGACAAAGCTGCATTGTGTAGCGATTGTAGAAGTCTTCCCCTTCTTCTTTTCTTCTTCCTTTCTATACAAAGGCCTTGTGTGGACACAAAGCGTGCTTATTATAAGGACACTGGATTTAATATTGCAGTACGGACGGACAAAATGTTGAGTTGTTGTCGTGATAGGTATTGTTTGACTTTTCTTTTACACCCATCGTCTCAGCATAGAAACCATCGGCTAGTTTCTATCGACATACTGACAATGAAGCAATACGTTTACCTTCGATATGATGATATGTGGTTTGGTTGTTAATTGTAGGTACAGATTTCACAGTACCGGTTGTTTTTAATCCGAGGTCCTGAATAATAATACACTATGTCTTCACGATACGGCGATTCGTTCTACAGTAGTCCGTACGGAATATACACTTGACTACCTACACTACTTGACAGACTCTGCATATAGCCAGAGCAAAGCAGTAACACTATATTTAATTATTAGGTATCCCGAGAGCTGTGAGTTGAAGTTGTCTTTTAGTTACTGTAAATACCTACCTACAGTTGTCATGCACGTATGTATGTAGGTTAGATCTGTAAGTGGTTATTCACAGTCCGAAGCGCCTAACCAAGGTACCTACCTAGGCTTGAACTCCGCAAGAGCTTCTTTCATGCATGAATACGGATCCGTACACTAACTACGGAATACCTACGGACCGTACGGACGTACATGTACCTAGTTTACTACCAAGACTACTGCCGTTAGACTCGCTACTTATATGTTGCTCTAAAACCAGGAGGCCCCAGCACCGGCAATCATCAAGATCTCGATTGGTCTAGTGGTCAGGATACCTGCTTGTCAATCCGTCAAACTACATTAGTCTTCACAATAGTGAGACTTAGACGTTCGTGGAACAAGCCGCAGGTGGCCGGGGTTCGATTCCCCGATCGAGAGAGAGTGTGCTTCTTCTGTCTTTTTGAGGCCATTGTCGCAACATTCACTTATTATTTGTTTTTTTTTTTTGGTTCTTTTGACAAGGGCTCCTTACAATTGCCATTACCTACAATACCTTCTTCATCTGCGTTGAGAAAAGATTCTCGCCATGCTCAAGGTAATACCTAAAAACCACATACATTAATAAGTACTGCAGTAATCACGAGACTTCCGGAGCACGTCGGTCCGCCACCTGAACTGTAATAAATTAAATAATGATGTACCTGCATGTATCATTACCTACCTACGATGATCAAATGCATTGAAACACTAACCGTGCAGTCATCTCGACATGCAATAAGAAATAGATGCCTCACAGTTGTCATCACATCTCCATCAAGCTGAAAAGGGCGCTTCTTGCTTACAGAAAAGCTCCCAGCAGTCCGGCTAATCATGGATTGGAAGCATCAACCCAAATTTTCAGTAACCTGTTCTATTGCTATTGTATGGGATTACCAGCGGCTGGCTTGATCGAATGGAATTGATATTACCGATTGCGTGTGCGCGGCGAGATTTTTCCAGGACCTCGACTAAAATACGTCGAAATAAGCAAGCCCAAGCCCATCACCCTAGTCTTTACCGCTTCTAACCTCTAAACTCCTTTCCCCCATTCTAAAGTCGGTCCGAACCATGTTGAAAAATACTGCTGATCATCGAACGATCATGTCTTCACGGTCTTTGCCAGTGCCGATATAACCAACCTATGCAGCTTAGTAATTGAAGAATGGATAGCATGCCGTATTTGGCAACGTACCTTAATGCCCAGCTCTGACTCAATCAGCTCAATATACTTCTTGGCTTGAGGGGGCAGGTCGGACCATGTCCGTAGCCCCTGGGTTGAGCACTGCCAGCCTTCAAAGTCAATGTACTCGGGTATGCATGTCTCGAGCTGGCAAATACGTTAGAGCTACGAAAATCTGGATTGTAGACACACAAACACTCACAAAGTCCAGATCAGCAGGGAAGCTGGTGATCCTCTGACCATCAGGTGTAGTATACGCCACAGCAACCCGAATGGTCGAAAATGTATCTAACACATCGACTGCAAATCCTTGATTAGTTCACCCGCCAACCATAGTATTATGCACCTGAAGAGCAGCTCACGCTTGGTTAGGTTGATAGTGGTGTAGTCTGTAAGGGCGTTCATCAGTATCAGGCAATAAGTAACTCGTTGCTAGTACAAGTCACTCACAGTTCACGGCCGCGGAGTATTTGAGAACCACGAGATCGAGCCAGCCACATCTTCTCCTTCTGCCAGTCGAAACACCCTGCGAAAACAATGTTAGACTCGTTCCGTAAGAAAGAGTAGATGAAGTGCGTAGGCCAAGCGTACAATCTCTCCGCCAATTTCCTGCAATTTCGTACCAATCTCCCCATGCTGTTCTGTGGGGAAAGGACCGCCGCCAACCCGTGTTGTCTGTGAAAACGCATTTGGGTCAGCATGGCTTCTATTCGGATTGACGTGCTCCTGTCGGACTTACATATGACTTGACAACGCCAATGACGTTCCTATAAAACAAATTCAAGTAAGTCTCATGAGACCGAGAGTATATGCAGAAGCGGGCAGTGCCGTCTTTTTGTGCAAGTGTCCTTATACTCACTTGATGTTGAAGGGACTAAGCGCTAGACCCTGGATGCAACCGCCGATCGAGCAGCTTGACGACGTAACAAAGGGGTAACTGCCGTAGTCCAGATCAAGCACTGCGGCTAATTAGCTAAATCTTATCAAATTCTTAGCCTTGGGTTTGACAAACTTAAAGCTTGGGAACCCTCGACGAGAACGGATCGCTTCTTCTCTTGAGCATCCTTCATGTATTCCACAGCGTCGACAATGTAGGGCCGCAGCTTTTCTCGAATGCTCAGAAATTTTTGAATCTCTTCTTCAACATCATACTGGAGGAGATTTCCGTATCGCGCGCGGTATCCCGCTGCTAGGGTGCGTAACTTGGCGGCAAAATCATCACGATAGATGTCATTTACCCTGAGACCATCTCGGGCGGCCTTGGTGCTGTAGGACGGGCCAATACCTCGCCTGGTGGTTCCAATCTGGCTTTGACCAAGCGCCTGCTCGGATAGCCCATCAACAGCAGCATGTAAAGTGAGATTCAGGTGGCAGCGCGAGCTCACGTGGATTCGCTTGTGAACGTTGGGCACACTCTTGGCGTCGAGGTCGGCCAGCTCTCCAAAAAAGGCATCGACATTGAAAACGACGCCGGATCCAATCAGATTATCAGTACCCGGGCTTACCAAACCGGACGGCAAAAGATGGAAAGAGAATTTCAGAGAACCAATACTATTTCTGGTCAGCCGAGACCTGAAAGTTTTGGTAAACACTGAGTCCCATACTGAATTGAATGGCCGGCATTGTGGCCGCCTGCTGCACGTGCGCAGAGATCAAACGAATTGGTAGCCAGAAGATGATCGGTCAACTTGCCCTTCTATATTTACAGTAAATAGTCAATAAAATCTCGTCAGCCCATATGCAAGCTCTCAGGGCTCAAGTGGGCGCAAACGTACGCCTTCGTCTCCTGCGCACGAATGAAGTTAATTCCAGATTTAGTTCAGATGTGGTACTTATTGCCCTGGGATTCGGTAATCCTATCATTGCCATTCCAAGTTTGGTACGGATACATATGTATGTACCAAGATTCAAGGCTCAGGGACTCCGAATCCATTGTTTAATCAAGGCGTGAGAGAGACTCACCCCATTGGGCACCGAGAATAATTGATGCCATAGCGCTTTCAGCCTGTTGATTTCGTCTATCGACGGTGATGAACTTGGGATTTACACTTGCAAACAAGTAGAAAAGTCGCAGGTGGAAAAAGGCAATTCCAAGATCTGCCGGCCACGGAGCCGAAATGCGGCGTGAAACTTGGCGGATCAGGTGGGGCAGGCTGAGAGGAGGGGCTCACAACGTTACTTATCGACCAATACTTAGGCACCTAGGTACGTAGGGTAGCAGGTAGGTAGGTAGTAGTAGTAGTAATAGGTAGTACTTTAGGTAGTCGAGGGGAAGAGAGAGGGAGAGAAGAAGGCCCTTTTAAAACAAATGTTGAATTAGGTACCTACAAACTTGTCCATGAAACAGGTTTAGCTACCTCTTGGTACCTACTTTAATTTTTTTTTATTACCGGTAACTACCTTAGGTAGTGCCTACTACCTACTACTAGTGGCCTACCGAATACCTTAGGTACCTACAAGCGCTTACCTGATGGCTTCTTGTGCAATACCTAACCTACCTACCTAAGGTACCTAAGGTACCTACCTAAATAATCTGAATTATCTACCTACACCTCCTCCGGCCCCGAGTTTGTTAGCGCGATACACAAAGCAGGGGTTGGCACTTGAACCCGTGGGCAGTTGCTGGCTGAGATGTCAAGAGAATGTTAGTGTACCAAATTTTGTAAAAGGGCTTGAAGCATCTGTCCTGGGCCTCTGGTCCGAACCCCTGCTTTGTGTATCGCGCTAACAAACTCGGGGCCGGAGGAGGTGTACATGTACATCCGTAGGTACCTACCGTCCGTACTAGGGTAGGTACCTAAGTAGGTACTACCTAGTAGCTGTCAGATATAGGTGACTTACCTCCTTGGGTAACACTTCATCTAGTTAGGTAACTACAACTTATACGGATCCGTACCTACCTCCTAATTTGCAGGTACTAGTGCCCTAGTGTAGGTATGTCGTAGGTACCTCTACGGACGTAGATAGGTACCTAGGTACGGACGTAGATAGGTACCTAGGTACGTACGTACTTACGTAGGTATAAGTAGCGATCTATGTTGGAGGGGCAGTCGGATTGCCCCTCATCCCTCATGACTTCTCAATTGAACCCCTCTCATCCGCGGTGGACCCACTTGATGAGATAAGTCCTACGGCATCTTGGAATCTGAGATCCATCTCTAAATCTGGCTACAGACGTACCTACGAATTACTATACCTGGATTGCGTATAGTTTCTTGATTAAGCGTCTGGACGGTATGGAAACTTCTTTGACCTGAAACGCTGGAGGTTCTCGCATGTACGGAATATCTGACAATCAGTCTGGGCTCTGTTTGCTATAATATTAAGTACAAAGTGATTGCCATTTACCAAACTACGTACGTAAGCCTCGCCAAGTCAGACAAGCCAGTGGAGTCCTTAGACAATGGCTACTCTACCCTGCTCAGTACTGTAGTGTATGTTGGGACTTACACTTTCACGTCGGATACGTACAGCGCACAGCTATTACTGTTAAGTACTAGGTAACTTACTACCCAATACGGATACCTGCCGATACCTACGGACGTAGAGCAGATGTGTATGTACCGATACCGGGACATGCTTTAGTACCCATAGGGCTGGAGTCACGGCCGCAGTCGAACGGTCGTAGGAAGTTGTCACCCCCAAATGATCACGTGCTGATTGCAAGCTCTTACCTACAATAGGTACAACCTCCTTATCGTAGGGAAATAACCTTAGAAGTGAGAGCGGGTGGGGAAATTCAGAGCCCCGAAGATGCGATGTTCCTGATTGCTTCGAGAAGAGGAACAGTGATGAGATCTTGCTAGACTGATGTATTACAGCTTTCCCTTCATCCTGACTGAAGTTACCGCTCCCGTTTCTTAATCAAAATGAGACTCCAGGATGTCGATCACTTAGAACTGCCACCAACGGCGGACATGCATGTCCACTTACGACAGGACCAGGTCCGTTTATCAAGACCCCGTATATGTTCACATCCTTCATCTCAGCTTGGCTAATTTGAGACGGCTTGCTGCAGGTTATGAATCTGGTGGTCCCTTCCATTAGGAGAGGTGGCGTGGACACCGTGTTTGTCATGGCATGTAAACCTCCAAAAGACACTTTTTCTAGTCTACCAGCTTTGAACTCATTATTCTTGACAGCCTAATCTGCAGCCGCCGGTCACAAGTGTAGCCGCTGCTCTAGAATACAAGTCTCGTCTGCAGGCTATCGAGCCCGA